TCTCCAGATCCCCCCCCCCCCAAATATTGAGTCTTTAGATTATTTTTCCACCACTTTACTCCAGGTAAATCCACTTGGAGTCTGTCAACATTCCAAGATGTTGCTTTCATAGAAACCCTAAGTGTCTCCTTTTTAGTGTTCCAGTGAGCAGCATTTTAAAGGGGTTCAGTCAATGGGGGAAGGTGCTATAGATTAGGTGAACAGAAAGAGTTAGAAATTCTGTGGCAGTTCAGCTGATTGGGACACAAAGTCTTTTAAAAAGCCTCTAGCCTAAAAGTACAAATGTCTGTTTCTTGATGAAATAATTAAAAGCAAACAAACCTGTGAACCTACACCTTCCATTTGGCATTTCCCAATCAATACATGGGAACACTTAGTAAAAGCACTAAGAGACAGAGAGAACACCATTTATTACACAGCAGAGTTCACCTGCCTGAAGTAATTGCTACATACATGCTTTAGAAAATATTCAGAGGTGGGTCCCCCCCTTTCTGTGAGTAAGCAAAGCACTCAGTGATGCCAGCTCATTTCCTAAAGATTGGAACTTCTTTTTCCATTCAACCATTTTAAATACCTAATTAGAAACCCGATATATGAAGGCAAAGAATACATCAAATTGTTTTAGGTTATATAAACCCATCAATTATGATTATTACCAATGGGAAATTAAGAGTATCAGAGTTCAGTCTGGTGGTGGCTTTTGCTAATATCTCCCCTTGTGTCACAATCAGATTCTTTGGAGACAGTATGGGATAAAACTGTAACAATACAGAAATGTTCATTTCTGAATCTCCAGAAAATAATAGGAATTCCTATCTTTGGAGGACACATGTTAAAAAAGAAATTTTGCCTGAATCCAGTGCTTCCAATCTTCTGCAGCTAGCCTCTAAGATACCCCAGATTCCATCTCAATTCAAGTATGAGTTGAAACATTGGGATCAGGATAAGCAAAACCATCAGAATGACATCTGGACCTCTTAGAGCTGCATTTTGGCTTTGCAGACATCCATTAGTTCTCTTTCAAGGCCTTTTATTTCAAGTTCCTATAAACTGGGGTTATAATACTAGTGATGTTTCGTTCATTTTAATATCCTATATGTTTATGCATGGGTACAATACAGAGGAAGGGGAGGCAGGAAGGTTACTGTTAAATCAGTTCACTGATTTAGAGCACAAAAGAGCATTAATTATTATTGAATCAAGCCAGATGTTTATACTAAGCTGATGATTTCAGTGAATGTCATTTTAAATCTCTGCAGGTCAGAGTAAAATACTGTCTCAGTCATTTCCAAATGTGCAAATTTCTGTCTTTCAAAATGTTTTTAAAATGTGTATTTTTATACAAACTGTGCATGGTTTCTGACTCAATTATCTCACTTTATCAGTAAACATAATGGATCATGACAATCGTAGGAACACCTCATAATGTTTTATAACTTTAGTTTGGGGGAAGATTATCCAAATAAAATGAGAATTTGAGATGACCACTAGAATGTATATTATGACAACATCTGCTTACACCTACATCAATTGATTAAGGCATTTATATTTCTTATGGATATTTTTTATTCTTCATTTTTGTTTGTTTTTCAATTAAAACCCCAATTAAAATGCAAAATGCTAGATCCCATTATGAAGACAAATAGGAAAGTACAACTTCATTGTTGAAAACAATTTTCCTCCTATCAATCTGAAGATTCATGCATCAATATTGTAGATGAACTGTTAATTACAAAATCAATTAAAAAATTATTTCTAAAAACAGTCACGCATCCTGGCTCTCGGGGGGACAATTTGGGCAGAAGGCCTCATCTCACTAGGACCGCACCAAATCACAAGTCGTCATCCACAAGTAAGCAAAAGCAATCTGGTTTTTCATTTTTCAGCGCGGCTGAGCCCAGCCTGAGATTGATCGTCACATATGGCCCCAGAAAACAAACTGTCAATACCTTGAAAGCTGCAGAATTTGAACAAATAGCCATCCGCCCATTCAAGCCACTCATTGCATCCCATTTAACAGATTTTATTGACAGTTTCCTTCTTGTAATTAAAGGGAAAACTACTGGCCAGCAACCAAGATAAAGTTCAAAGATAGGGTCAAAACAAAAGCAGATGGAGGGGCACGGTGTGACTGTCAATGGTACATAGCATCAGAGCATGTTATTGACACACAGGTATCTAATGATCGGCACGTCATTAAAGAGGGATCTATCATGAACTTTATGCAAATGCTAAAAGGGACTTAAGACCACAATAAAGTGTTAGAGAGGCACAAAAGAAAAAACAACAAAGAACAAACGATTTTTCACTTATCAAACACTGGCTCACTGCTTCAGCTCTTTTAAGTTCAAATGCAGAGAAGAATCCTTTCTTGAATTCGTAGCCCCCTTCTGAACAAGTTATATCAGGCGCTTAAACAACTACCATAAAATTCAAATTTGTACAGTGAAGAGGAGTTCCTACAAGATTAAATAATGATTTGCTCCCTTCCCTAATAAAACCCGAGTTCACCTTCGGTATTGAGTTCACTGTGTTTAGTAGCTAGATTGAAGTAGATCATATATTGCATTTAGTCATGGGCCCTTCCATTCTACGGGGTTTTAGCAGACTGATTAGACTGATCTGGATTATGAAACGGATTTAAGCAGAATGACATTAATGTTTATTGAAAAGCATCTTTGCTTTTAATACTGCCTGAATTTTCTGACATCTTTTAACCAAATTGGAAACTCAGAACAACAAATACTTCTAATCATAGATCTTCCCTTAATTTGAACTACCTTGTTTCTAGCCATTCAGCACTATTCTGCAGTAGTATGATTAAGAATGACTTATTCTTAGACAGTCGTATTTAGAAACTGTCATGCAGAAGGTATTAGAGGAAGGGGGAAAATGACATGAGCCATCATGCCAATCTGCCAACCTGAATTAGCAAGCGCGATAGCTTTGAGGGTGACAAACTCTTCTTTCTCCAGCTTCATGCTCTTGTATTTTTTTACCAGTTGCAGGATGGCATTGTTGAGGTCAAGAAGGCCTGCTAATTTAGACTGATCTTCATCCATAATATAGTCTTCAGCATAGACAAGCTCATCCTCAAAGGAAAGTGATCGGTACACTACGCCCAGAATCAAAATCTCCATCCAAGCACTCTGCAGAAGGCTCATCTGGTCAGCAAGCGATAAAGTGGAAAATCCTAAACCGGGAAGGAAAGTACACAGAAACATAATTAAAATTGTACTGGGCCATCATAATTCGGCATTATAACTTTACCCTGGTGCTTGTTATTATTACGTAAGTTAGCAATCTGTATTTGCAGATTCTGCCCTCTCAGATCGCCGATATCAGCAGACATAAAATAGTTACAGCAAAAGCACTTCAAATAAAAATGAATCAGTACATCTTGGGCTTATTGTAAAATTAGGTGGAGGAGCCTGTGGTATGTTATTCAGTATTTAAGAATACATTTCCTCAAATAAATTGTAAACAATTGTTACCCAGATTCAGTAACATCTGATATGGCCTACATCAAATTTGGAAACATTTTGGCAATAATGGTCATGGCTGGTAAGAGAAAGAATAAAAGATATGACAGCCTGTAATCTTATCTACCCTGTTACTTCCCACTGAGTAAGCCTCACTGAATGCAGTTACTTCTGCATAGACTTCATACTACACTCTAACAATTTCAAGGTCTCCTTTAAAGGCAGAGTGCTTTTTTAAACAAAAATGGGGGAAATCATTTTAAAGGGGAGGTAATTTGATACCTTAATAGAATTAAGTGATGATCACAACAACCAAGCAGAGTGCTTTTTGAACTTCAACCTCAGTAAGACCTACCCTTTCCAGAAAAGACGCTAATTACTTCTATAATAGCTTCTGCCTCCACCACACTGCTCAAATAACAGAATGGCACATTAAAGTGCCAAGTGAATAGTAATCACACCATCACTTTGAGAGAGAGAGAGAGAGAGAGAAAATATAATAATGCTTCTTAATGAATTTAAGTTTTGCTTTTGTTTCACTATCTCTCCTTTCCTTTTTAATAGGATCACTAAGGGCAAACCTCTTTATAGCCATACCTTTTCAGGCACCTATTTACAGTAGCTGTTAATTTATTATCTCCGACTGACAATGCTCGGATCACAGGAGGTCCCAGTGAAGGAGCAATTTCCTGGCCTATCCATGAAATATCGTAGTTTGCCAGTTGGCACCTGCAACCACCCAGGAGTTAATAAAATCATCAAAAGGGATTAGTCAAGCTTTTCTTAAGGGGGGTGGGTGGGTCTTAAGACACTCTAAAGCTCTCTGTGTGTGACTTATGGAGCTGCTCACATGTGCATTGACAGGGATCCTACAGCAAGAACAGGCTTTGATTGTTGCTGCTCATTTATCTTAAAACACACAGAATCTTGCCAAAGCACAAGAATTAGACATCAGTTTAGATTCAGCCTGCTGCACAACTCGGAAGCAAACGTATTCTGATTGAAAGAAATCAGAAGTCACTCCAAGCCAGGAGACATGCTTTAAAAGTGCTGTACTTTCTTGAGACCCTGCCTCCATTCCTTTGCGTTATTTCTTAATTCTTATTTACATTTTCCATACTGTATTCCGTTCCTTGTTTATAAAAGGGCATTTGTCATGTCCCCAAAACAAGATCAACAACATTGTTAAATAAGTGAAGCCAACCTTTCTGAAAAATGACAACGGGCTAGCCCCATGCTTCTTGTGGGAAATGGAAGGAAATGAAACAGAAATAATAATTTGAAAGGGTCTGAAAACGGAAGGCATATTTGCAATTAGCTCCAGCCTCTCTCTCAAGAAGCAGATGGACGGAGAACGTTGCCTGCAGCTCTGTTTTGTGACAGGCCCATTCTCCCTCCCAGACACTGCTGTTAGTAAATAGATTTACACATTCTCCAATCTCCACACATCTTTCTGCCGAATAATTAAAAGCAGGGATGATTAGTTTATTGAGTGGAAGGAGGAACTTTTTTATTGAGGTCCGTCCATGATTTTTATCAGGGCCAGCACTTTTACGGTTGTCATGAGGGTGCAGGCATCCAATTTTTCTTATCTGCCTGATTAATACAAACGCTGTTTCAGGACGCATTAATTAACAGATACAAATCTACGTTCTCATGGAAGGATCAATACAGAGAAGAAAAGAGGCATCAATGTGAATTTAGTGCTGATGATGGAGAAGGCACTCTATTGACATTTACGTGCACGGAAACTTTAAAGTCCAGGAGACCCCTTTGTCCCTACGATTTACAAAGTAACAGTGTTTTTTAACTATAACCATGTTTCACACACTTCAGGGGCATTTAATTAAGCCAAATAAATAAAAAAAAAGCAATAAAATCTCAATAGAACTTTTAATTTCAATCATTTTCCTTTCTATTCCCCCCAAAGCTTTCACCTTCCTGCTTTTTATTTATATGCTAATCTACGCATTTTACTTTTTATTTTTTAATTTAAATTACAGTGGGTTTTGCTAGCAATTACAGTACCTAACAGACAATTAAAAAAAAACCTATTACTAACCCCATTAATTTATGAAGGGATATTTGGTCAGACTTTACAAATGTGTAAATGGTTTCTCATTTCTTCAGGATAATCTTCATATTTCTACACTATTTCCCTGGACAGCTTTTTTCCCCTGCAGGAAATATGTTGTCCCTGATCATGAATGATATATTTTGTTTATGCCTGTAGAAAATACACAGGGGTGCACACATTTTTTCTTGATGTATATAGTTCATATACCCCAGAAAATAAAGTGCAGGAGGTAGAATTGTGGAATTTTATATCATGTTCTTTGAGTACATTTAGTAAAATCATATTTTATTACTAGGCATTCAGTGTAAACCTTTATTGGAAGTGATGAGAGATGGTAGACTCTTAAAAATATCAGAGCTGGTAAAGCCTAACTTTATATCTGTGTTTTAATTAATAAAATAAAAACTAAAATATTTTTTTCTGTTGTTTGCAAAAGCAAAAAAACTTGGTAACATAAAATATTTCAAAAAACTCTTACACAGAGTAAAAGGGCCTACCAAATAAACCAATGTTAGGGTTCATTTAAATGTATGAAGCTCTGTGGAAGAATGCTAGCCACTGTACAATAGGGAAAAAATAGACGTCCACACCTTCCTAAAAAGTGATCTTTTTAAACTGTATATGAAATAAAATCTCCAAACTCGATATGAATTTCCCACTAACCACTTAACATTTTCCAGCCACTCAGCCCTGAGCTCTCCCAAAATCTAGAAGATATCACCTTGCTGGTGTTCCCCTGAACTTTTAATTTTGTCACATATAGTTCCTTAATCCCTAGCATTTGACAAGTCATAGTTTTAAATGTTCAACTATATTATGGCTTTAAAAAATACAGTTCAATACACAATGGGGCATTTTTCCCTCAGTGCAGACCAATTCCATGCATGCTGCTGACAACTTTGATTCCTCTTCGTCTCCTTCTCCGTGTCAGTGCCATTTAATGTATCCCAGGCATTTTGCTAGCAGAATGGCTCTGTACCTTGACCTGCAGTTAAATAGCATGTTTATTTGCGAGACAGTGTGCTCCAAGTAAACCAGATGACAGTTTGGAATAACATCATTTGGAAGGATTGAAAAGCTTCTCAAGAATCAGGTAGCCAGAGGTCATAGGCTGGAAGGAAGCATGTGCTGTGCCAACCCTCCTGCCATCTTCTACTTGAAACTCATATATTTGACGGTGATGCCATGGGCACTTGTCAAGACAACCCAGCCCTTTACCCATTCTTTTTCTCATTTACTTTCTGCCCCTTCCCCCCCCACACACCCCAAATCCTCCACCAGCTCTCTTTTAGCCTGGCAAACTGATGCTCTTTGCAGTCAACTTAGAAAAAAGGCTAAGCATTTGAAAGTGTGAAGGGCAAAAAACATCTGACGGCTAGTCTTCAAAAATACACTTCCATTTCACAAAGCATAAATGTTTGTTTCCCAAGTCCAGTGTTGACAGAAATAGGCTGCAGTGCAGGCATAAGAAGTTAACCCCTACAAGGCATTCTCTTCCACTTTAACGACGCTGAATGCAAACCACTATAATTCTATGCAGTTTCTTGCAAATAGCCATAAACAAGGGCCATGATTTGTGGGCTCTCTCTCGCCTCTCTGACCCACCACTCTTCCAGCTCTTTTCTCCTATGTAGATTGCACTGCTTCTATAAATAGAGGGTTTTCAACAAAAAGCACCTTCCACTTCATTTGTAATTATAACCTAATGACTCTCGGTTATCACAAAGTATGCATGAGGGGGACCCAGCTGAGCAACTTGCCTGATTCTTTCCTCCTGCCTTCAGTTTCATATATTCATAAAACACTAGAAGAAAGTGAAATATAGATGGCAACAAAGCCCTTGGTGTTTTTACCATGTAAAGCCTCCGCAATATTCTGTCTACTGAAATTAATTCTTCAGCTACAGTGTGCATGGATCTATAGCACATATTCTTTTAAAACAGACCATTTTGTCCACTTGCTTTTCCATTTGCCTCTTTCATAGCACAGGTCCCCAAGATAACAAGCCTAAATCATTATCATTCCCAAAGACACTCTTCTACAGTCTGTTTAGGATTTTATAGACACTGGAGGCACATTTGTGGTTTATCTACAGTACCCTTAGTATGCCGTTTTTGAAAACAATCATAGTGTTACAAGAGAACTGGCAAAATATTACAGTATCAACAATTGGGGAGGAATGCCAGTTACTGTTTTCTCTGCCTTTGTCTCTGATCCTTCCCATTTATTTGAATTCTTTTGTTCCATTCTGGAAAGAAAATACACTACAAGCATTTAATGCCTATTGGTCACAGTCCAAATCCTCAAAGCATGCAGAGGGTTCCTGCTCTTTTAAGTGAGAGAAAATGCTCTACGGGAGCACAAGCTTGTATTGTGTGTGCCACATATTTCTCTACTAACAAAATAGGGACTATCTATATTCATTATACTTTTAGGTGTTGTTTAGGTATTTTAAATGATACTTTAACCAGTTTTTTGTTTTGTTTTTTCGCCGATTGCTTTGAACATCCTGGAAATGGAAAGATGAAATAGCTGTTTAAATAACAACAGAAATCCAACAAGTCACTTCAACACTTTAAATAAAGAAGACGGACTAAGGATACTCTTAGATCATTTTCAATAGAAAAGTTTAAC